CTTCACTGTATATAATGTACCACTATAAATCATTCACTGTATATAATGTACCACTATAGTATAAATCATTCACTGTATATAATGTATCATTATAGTATAAATCATTCACTGTATATAATGTATCACTATAGATCCTTCACTGCATATAATGTATCATTATAGTATAAATCCTTCACTGTATATAATGTATCACTATAAATCCTTCATTGTTTATAATGTATCACTATAGTAAAAATCATTCACTGTATATAATGTATCACTATAGATCCTTCACTGTATATAATGTACCATTATAGTATAAATCCTTCACTGTATATAATGTATCACTATAAATCATTCACTGTATATAATGTATCAATATAAATCCTTAATTGTATATTATGTATCAATGTGTAAAGCCTTACAGACCACTGTATTTAATGCATAGATCATTCACTGTATAGCTCATTCACTGTTTATAATGTATAGATCACTGTATATAATGTATCCATGTATAGATTCCGTACTTTATATAAACTCTCTCAGCGTGAAATACTTCACCGTACACTAAATCCCACCTTCACTATATAAAATGTATCCCTATATAGATAATTCACAGTGTAAAATGTACAGACCCCAGACTTTATATATATCAATGTATAGATCCTTCACTGTATATAAACTATTAATGTATAGAACCCACAGTGTATATAATATATCAATGTATAGATCCTTCACTGTATATAAACTATTAATGTATAGAACCCGCAGTGTATATAATATATCAATGTATAGATCCTTCACTGTATATAAACTATTAATGTATAGATCCCGCAGTGCATATAATATATCAATGTATAGATCCTTCACTGTATATAAACTATTAATGTATAGAACCCGCAGTGTATATAATATATCAATGTATAGATCCTTCACTGTATATAAACTATTAATGTATAGAACCCACAGTGTATATAATATATCAATGTATAGATCCTTCACTGTATATAAACTATTAATGAATAGAGCCCACAGTGTATATAATGTATCAATGTATAGATCCTTCACTGTATATAAACTATTAATGTATAGAACCCACAGTGTATATAATATATCAATGTATAGATCCTTCACTGTATATAAACTATTAATGTATAGAACCCACAGTGTATATACTATATCAATGTATAGATCCTTCACTGTATATAAACTATTAATGTATAGAACCCACAGTGTATATACTATATCAATGTATAGATCCTTCACTGTATATAAACTATTAATGTTTAGAGCCCACAGTGTATATAATGTATTAATGTATAGATCCTTCACTGTATATAAACTATTAATGTATAGAACCCACAGAGTATATAATATATCAATGTATAGATCCTTCACTGTACATAAACTATTAATGTATAGAGCCCACAGTGTATATAATGTATTCATGTATAGATCCTTCACTGTATATAAACTATTAATGTATAGAACCCACAGTGTATATAATATATCAATGTATAGATCCTTCACTGTACATAAACTATTAATGTATAGAACCCACAGAGTACATAATATATCAATGTATAGATCCTTCACTGTACATAAACTATTAATGTATAGAACCCACAGAGTATATAATATATCAATGTATAGATCCTTCACTGTACATAAACTATTAATGTATAGAACCCACAGTGTATATAATATATTAATGTATAGATCCTTCACTGTATATAAACTATTAATGTATAGAACCCACAGTGTATATAATATATCAATGTATAGATCCTTCACTGTATATAAACCATCAATGTATAGATCCCACAGTGTATATAATATATTAATGTATAGATCCTTCACTGTATATAAACTATTAATGTATAGAAACCACAGTGTATATAATATATCAATGTATAGATCCTTCACTGTACATAAACTATTAATGTATAGAACCCACAGAGTATATAATATATCAATGTATAGATCCTTCACTGTATATAAACTATTAATGTATAGAACCCACAGTGTATATAATATATCAATGTATAGATCCTTCACTGTACATAAACTATTAATGTATAGAACCCACAGAGTATATAATATATCAATGTATAGATCCTTCACTGTACATAAACTATTAATGTATAGAGCCCACAGTGTATATAATGTATTAATGTATAGATCCTTCACTGTATATAAACTATTAATGTATAGAACCCACAGAGTATATAATATATCAATGTATAGATCCTTCACTGTATATAAACTATTAATGTATAGAACCCACAGTGTATATAATATATCAATGTATAGATCCTTCACTGTACATAAACTATTAATGTATAGAACCCACAGTGTATATAATATATTAATGTATAGATCCTTCACTGTATATAAACTATTAATGTATAGAACTCACAGTGTATATAATATATCAATGTATAGATCCTTCACTGTATATAAACTATTAATGTATAGAACCCACAGAGTATATAATATATCAATGTATAGATCCTTCACTGTACATAAACTATTAATGTATAGAACCCACAGTGTATATAATATATCAATGTATAGATCCTTCACTGTACATAAACTATTAATGTATAGAACCCACAGTGTATATAATATATCAATGTATAGATCCTTCACTGTATATAAACTATTAATGTATAGAACCCACAGTGTATATAATATATTAATGTATAGATCCTTCACTGTATATAAACTATTAATGTATAGAACCCACAGTGTATATAATATATCAATGTATAGATCCTTCACTGTATATAAACTATTAATGTATAGAACCCACAGTGTATATAATATATCAATGTATAGATCCTTCACTGTATATAAACCATCAATGTATAGATCCCACAGTGTATATAATATATTAATGTATAGATCCTTCACTGTATATAAACTATTAATGTATAGAAACCACAGTGTATATAATATATCAATGTATAGATCCTTCACTGTATATAAACTATTAATGTATAGAACCCACAATGTATATAATGTATCAATGTATAGATCCTTCACTGTACATAAACTATTAATGTATAGAACCCACAGAGTATATAATATATCAATGTATAGATCCTTCACTGTACATAAACTATTAATGTATAGAACCCACAGAGTATATAATATATCAATGTATAGATCCTTCACTGTATATAAACTATTAATGTATAGAAACCACAGTGTATATAATATATCAATGTATAGATCCTTCACTGTATATAAACTATTAATGTATAGAACCCACAGAGTATATAATATATCAATGTATAGATCCTTCACTGTATATAAACTATTAATGTATAGATCCCGCATTGTATATGATGTATAGACCCCACACTGGATATAAACTCTCTCTATGTACAGACCCCATACTGTATATAAGCTCTTAATGCATAGTTCCCATACTGTATATAAGCTCTATCCATGTGGAAATCCCATACTGTATATAACCTATCTCAATCTATATAAGATCTATCAATGTACAGACCCCATACTGTATATAACCTATCTCAATATATATAAGCTCTATCAATCTATATAACCCAAACTGTATATGAGCTCTATCAATGTATAGATACCATACTGTATATAAACTCTCAATGTATAATCTCATACTATTTATAAACTCTCTTAATCTATAGATCCCATACTGTATATAATCCCTCAATGTATAAATCCCATGTTGTATATAAGCTCTCAATGTATAGATCTCATACTGTATATAAGCTCTCTTAATGTATATATCCCATACTGTATAGGAGCTCTATCAATGTATGGATCCCATAATATATAAAATCCCTCAATGTATAGATCTCATATTGTATATATACTCTCAATGTAGAGATCACATATTGTATATATACCCTCCATGTATAGTACCTGAATTGTATATGGTCTCTCAATGTAGAGATCACATACTGTATATATACCCTCCATGTATAGTACCTATATTGCATATATACTCTTAATATATGGATCACATATTGTATATATACTCTTAATATATGGATCACATATTGTATATATACTCTCATGTATAGTACCCGAATTGTATATAGTCTCTCAATGTATGGATCACATACTGTATATATACTCTCCATGTATAGTACCCATATTGTATATAGTCTCTCAATATATGGATCACATACTGTATATATACTCTCCATGTATAGTACCCATATTGTATATAGTCTCTCAATGTATGGATCACATACTGTATATGGCAACACCTTGAGCTCTTTGTCATGTTCCTCAAACCATTCCTGAACAAATTGCAGTGTTGCAGGGTGCGTTATTCTACTGAAAGAGGTCACTGCCATCAGGGAACACCATTGCCATTAACGGGTGTACGTGGTCTGCAACAATCTCTTGGTAGGTGGTACGTGTCAAAGTAACATCCACATGAATGCCAGGACCCAAGGTTTCCCAGCAGAACATTGCCCGTAATATAACACTGCACCCTGTATAGGGCATCCTGTTGCCATCTCTTCCCCAGGTAAACAACTGCACACACACCATGCCATCCACCTGATCTAAAATCAAACATGATTCATGCATTGCCCCATGGTTCAGGTCTGACGCTCACGTCCCCAATAAAGGTGCTTTCGGCAGGGGACAATTGATGGGAGTTGCCCTTCTAGTTTACTGGTAGCCCAGGAATGGTTTACCATGTGGAATGTGAGCACTCATGGGCATTCTGACTGGCCTGCGATGAACTGGAAACATTTTAGCAATTCATCTCATCTTCCCTCCACCTGGGCATCAATGAGCATTGGTCGCCCATGATAACGACGGGTAATTTTGTAACGTGATTTATTTGGAAAATAAAGTGAATTTTAGTTGTTAGGTGAAACAAAAACATAAATTACTTTTTCCAATGCAAACTCGATATTTTTTCCAAAAATGTTAAATTCACGTTGAATTCTTGTCAATTGACTCTTTATTGAATAACCCTGAGAGTAAGTGTCACACACTATCCCTTATCTGTACATGCAGTATGTATTACGCACTCACATATTTACCCTTAAAAGTGAGTCTGTGTTATATTGTATTATGTCATATGAGAGCATGGTTTAAAATTGTTTCTATTATCATTACAAGTCACACCAAAGGTGAAAGACACGATAAAAGCTTTATAGAAATGACAACAAAGTCACCCCTTTCTAAACCCGTCCATGATAGCTTTATGTTTATACTGCCCCAGACTTCTTGAGTTTTCTGCAAAGCTTTATAATAATATGTAAAAAAAAAAAAAACAGAAATAAGTGCTCGCTACAAAAATATACAGGAAGGCAGCAGTAAATCAGTGAGGATTGCCAGAACCTTACAAGCAATACAAATAGTGACAAACAAAGTGACAAACCACGGCCAAAAGGGTGTAAAATTGTATAACACTCTTGTGTTTATATGAATATATACATAGGCGTGCGCAGCCTATTGCATTAGGGTGTGCACCCTAAAGCGCACGCCGCGTGTATATGTATGTATATGTATATATACACACACACACATATATATATATACACACACACATACATACACTGCTGTGTGTGCTGTGTGAGGGTGCTGGTAGTGTGCTATGTGGGTGAGGGTGTTTGTGTGTGTGTGTTTGTGAGCGTGATGTTAGTGTACTGTGTGTGAGGGTGCTGTTTGTGTGCTGTGTGTGAGGGTACTGGTATTTATTATTATTATTATTGCCATTTATATAGCGCCAACAGATTCTGTAGCGCTTTACAATATTATGAGAGGGGATTTAACTATAAATAGGACAATTACAAATAAACTTACAGGAACAATAGGTTGAAGAGGACCCTGCTCAATCGAGCTTACATTCAGTGTGCTGTGTGTGTGTTTTTTAGGGTCCTGTTAGTGTGCTGTGTGTGGGTGTCGTGTGCTGTGTGAGGGTGCTGTTTGTGTGCTGTGTGTGGGTGTTGTGTGTTTGTGAGGGTACTGTTAGTGTGCTGTGTGTGAGGGTGCTGTTAGTGTACTGTGTGTGTGTGTGTGTGTGTGTGGGTGCTGTGTGTGTGTGTGTGGGTGCTGTATGTGTGTGGGTGCCATGCTGCTGCCTTCCCTGGTGGTCCAGTGGAGAGTGAACTTTAGCCTGCGTGGCAACGCTCAGATCTCGCGAGAGGTACCCGGGGGAGCTGCTGGCAAGGTCCTCTACTGCCTCCCTCACTGCCTGTGGGCTAGTGAGGGAGATCTTTGATCTCCCCACCGGCCCATGGAGGCTGAGAGCAGAGCCGGCGCTCGGATAGTGCCGGCTCTGCATGAGCCGACAGGGGAGATCCTGAGATCTCCCCTGCCGGTCTCAATCTAGAGGTATGCCGTGGGGATTAGGGTGTGCCCAGGCACACCCGGCACACCCCATGCGCACGTCTATGAATATATATATTTACATATGCTTCTATCTAATCAATGTACACTGGTATTGGGTAACATTCGATAACCTCAAAAGAGAAAAAAGGGACAACAAATAGTGTGATATGTAATAATATTTAGAATATTTTGTTTAAAGTGTATAGAGGGCCAACTCACACTTTATTGAGCTACTAAGAGCTCTGCTGTTATTCGCCTGGACGGTACAATCCCCGTCTATGGATATATGCAACTCTGTAGTACTCCAATATATATGGAGAAAGTAAAACAGTGTATATCTATACACAAGATAGGTAGTAAATGAGTGGTATCTTACAATATGCAGAGCAATGACGTGCTCTGGTATGGAGAGCGTTGGTGGTATTATTCCCACCTGGGATATGCAGGATACACCAGGAAATACGATGACAGGAATGAGATGATAAAATAATAAAATAGAATTAAAATACTTTATTAATATATGGTAAAGAGGTATAATATATCTATATATAAAGTACAATAGGGAATAAGAGTAAAATCCTTCCAGTACCAACTGGGTCCAGCTGGGCTTCCTCAGAAGTGTGACCCAGAAAGGAACCAAAGACAGTGTTAGATTCACATATCAAGTCCTTATATGCAGTAGATTGACAGGTACCACCAACTCATTTACCTCATTACCTTTAACATTACCGCATTCATTTTATATTGCTTACCATATCGCCAGCACGGAAAGTACTTCACCCACCTGGTGCATCTACTCTGCCAATGAGACATCCACAAGGCTCCTACTGATGGGACAAAGGAACAAGTGCGGCCTACAGCAATAGGTCAATATAAGATTGCCGGGGACCCAATGACAGCCTAATGCAGTCAGTTATTATTCCCAATAATACATGTAATAATCTGTTACTTTAGATAGGGAGTTAGTTACTATATTAAAAAGCACATATATGTTGAGAGGTCTTCACCCCTATCAGACGGGTTCCTCTGGGCAGCTGCCTATCCTGTCCATTTTGTAGGAAGATTTTACAGAGCCAAACAATGAATAGAACACAGGTTCGTAATGTTGGGTGTTTTTTTCATGATTAATCTTTACATTGAAACAAAGTGTAATTTGCTTTTACTTCACCCTTTCTGTTCCTCCCTCTGCTTCCTGTTTGTTCCAAAATGCTGAGCAATTCGCGATCCAGCTGTTTACTGTGGAAAACTGGCATTTGAACTACTACTCCCAGAATCCTCTGTTGCTGATGGAATAACGTGACGGAAACGTAAATAATTATCAGTCATTCTTCGATTGGTGAGAGCTCAGTTCAGATGCTGCAAAGCCGGGTAATTTGCAACAAATGGAAGAACTTCGACTGTAGATATCTTTTTACTTTGTATTATTTATTTTTTCCAATTATGATTATTGCATATTTTTTATGCATTGTTTATCTGTTACGTTACAAATTGGTGATATACAGCAGGGATAGTTCCATTGATTGTTAAAAAACAACAAAGGAATTATTTTCGACTATAATCGGTTACTTGGTGCACTTATAATTGGTTTCCTTTAACGTGATTTGGTTAAACAATGAAATGAATTGAAGAAAACTGAATAGTAAAAATTGGGCTTATATAGCCAAGCGGTGATCACACGTGGGTTGGTGAAGTTTTGCAGATGAGCTATTTTGCCCTGATTTTAGAAATGTGTTTTTCAGTTTATTGTGATTCACTGCTTAATTTGTATCATTCACTGTTTGTTCTCGACTTGTTTATTAACAGACAGTTATGGAAAAGCTATACCACAGGGATAAATAGGATCACTTTAAAACAAGGGCTGTTGTTTAAATGGAATTAATTTGGGCACATTGTGCTGTATTGAAACCACTTGAATTTCCTTAATCGTTGTAGTAGGCAGGGGGTATGCAACCTTTGGCAACTTTGGTTGTGGACTACTCCCCGGGTACTTTGCCAGCATTAATGTTCTAAGAGCATCATTATGGGAGATGTAGTCCATAACATCTGGATTGCTGAAGGTTGCTTACCCTGATCTAGAAGCTTCACAATACGGTTCAGTTCAAGCATTACCTACAGTCATGGGAGAATGCAGTGATGGCCCTGGAAAATGTTGAAGAAAAGTTAGTCCAGTTCTATTTCCTGCGCAATATGAGTTCTGAACTGTAGGCGCCACATTCCAAAAGAATATTGTTCTGAAGGAAGCAGGAAAAAGCCCATAAACCACTCCACTTGGCGGGGTCTGAGTATTTTAGTAGCCTGCAGTAACACATATAACCACAGGGGACATCTGTGATATTGTAGGATCAGTGCTTCATATTCTTCCAAGTGCTTTCCATGCAGCTGCTTTTAACGAGAGCTCGGCATGGGCTTATTTATATAACAGCCTTGTCCAGGGCACTTTACACAGATTAGTGATAGTACTGCTGTGGATGAGTACATTAAAAGGAAACTTGAACAACCACAACCACTACAGCTTATTGAAGAACTCTTTGAGTTTGGCAAAATAAAGGATATATGTGTCAGTGAATAAATTGCTGTTAAACTTTTGGCGGCAAATATTTAAGGTTTTTAGAAGTTTTACATGAAGCCAAGAGAAGGTGGGTGATTGGATGATGGTGGAACTTGTATCAGTGCTGAAGGGAAGCAGGAGGGTGCATAGAGGGACAAGGAGTAAGGGTTATGGGGGGAAGGGAACAAAAATGGCCGGTTGGGGTGTAACAGGATATCCTTGATGCAAGGTGGGGAGGCGCAAGGATTGGGCGAGTTAAGGAACAAAGCTTACTTTTACAACATCTGGGTGTTTTGCAAATAAATTTGATTGTTACAGAAAAACCTTTCTCATTACTTGAAACATTTTAGCAATTCTTCTAAGGATATTGGCTGACATTGATGGGAGTTGCCCTTCTAGTTTACTGGTAGCCCAGGAATGGTTTACCATGTGGGATGTGAGCAGAGGTCAGTGTAATCTTCTCCCGAAAACATCAATGAGGAACAATGAAACCTGATTCACTCCACATCAGCAGCGAGAATCTTTGTATCTCTGATATATGTCTCTTTTGATTGCAATTTCTGAATCACGTCTCATGATAGCAGCTTGTTATATTTATTTTAAAGAGATTAATGTAGCACTTCTGGTGTCTATAGCATGTCCCGCAGTGTTGGCACTGTTACATTGTAATTACATTGGTGCCTAGTAACAACTCTAGTGGCTGTCACTCAGATGGCCGCTAGAGGTACTTCCTATCTCAGTGCTGCACATGCGCAATAGCCTCCCAATGCTTTCCTACGAGAGAGCATTGGATTGGCTGAGATCATCAAAGATTGTATTCCTGACGCTATAGTGTTCCTTTAAATTTCATGACTGGACCCTTGTTTTTTGTTATCCCTTTCGGTTAATTCTCTTTTTTTTATAATTATATTTTACTGTTGGGTTTCTTTTTTTATATATATATATTTTTTTATATTTTACCTTTGTAGTCTTGTTTATTGATTTTTTTCTATTCTATATATTACTGATTAAGTTTAGTTTTGAAGAAAATAGAATTCTTACTGGGTATTAGTGGATAAGAGCTTCAGTTTTGCATAGCCGCTCATTGCATTGGATCGCGGAGCAGTTGAATGCTGCAACGTGGCACCTTCTCCTAGTGTGAATCAGATGAATTCTGGCACCCTGTCCAAGTCTAACATACAGGTTTAAAATACTGATATGATATGATGCAGTAAAAGCATTACATCTCAGACTGGGAATATAGTAGACTTGTCAGATTATCATGATTTATTTAAGGTTTTTTTTTTTTTTTTTTACATCCTAATAATTTCTTTTAACTTCACCTTTTGGTAACTGGACCCAAGTCAGGCCTCCGAAGAGTTAAATGACGAAACTCGATTCCTTTTATGATGTACGGAATTTCCTACTTAGATCAAATGTTCTTTTGAAGTCAAGATTTCAGAATGATATCATTTTTATCCTTTTTTTGTTCCTAACCGGGACAGGATTAGTTTCCTGGTATGTTTACAAGGCCGCTTACATATAAATAAAATATTTTCCGCCTTTTGTAACCTTTCTGATCAAAGTCAGACCTCGTCTTTCATGTTTCCTTCGCTTTGTTTTTTTTTTCTGAGGGTTTTGCAGGTGAGTGGTGGGTGGCCACTTTTAAAGATGGCTTCTGTGGACAGAAAATGTTAACAAGTTCCCCAGGATAACCGGTACTAAATGAAAAAGGTAATTGAGACGTTAAGCATGTCGTGTCAGATGAAGAGATGGGAAAGGAGATAAGTTTGGAATGATGTCATTTCGAAAACACTGACCACCAGAAATTCCAATAGAATTTTTTGTGAATTTAGCTGTGTGTTGCTGCCACCTAGTGGACGAAATATAAACTACAGTTGCATGTTAAATTGAATCTGTCAGCTACAATTATGTTTACATTTCAAGAAAGCATATGCACCATGTATGTGTATTTTTTAACAATTTCTAATGTCTCGGCAGGTTTTTTTCTTGCTATTCAAATTTTTTTTTTTTTTTTAAATCACTGCAGAGGTGATTAACAACAAAATAGACCAGCGGGTTGACTTTATGTCCCTAAAGCACACTCTGTTCATTTCATTTTTTTTGGAAGCTGCTGATAAATTGTATTGCTTTTTTTTTCTCGACCTACATCATGCACCAACACAGAACTCGCTGTATATTGTGTAATAAAAACAGCTGAACGCACTAACCCTGCTCAGTGACTGGAGGTCAGTCTATATTTTATTTAGATCCGGTACATCTGTAATGTTTCCCATGATGAATGTACAAATCACAGGAGCATGCCAGGTCTCTATGATTCAGCCAAACAGACAGGTGGATGGGGATTTTCTGTTATGCTAGATACATATCGATGGACATTTTGAGATGAATTTCTGCTGCGAGAATTGTTTATTTAAATGACAAACGCACTTTACTTGTTTAAAGAATAATTTTATGTTTTATATCATTTGTCTGGCCTTTTCTTTAGTTTCATAGTTGTTTGATGTGGTTTAAATGCCCATTTTCCACTTCATCTCATTAATCTGGTCTGGGTGCAGTGGTCGTGTCATTTTACCCAGCAAAACACGGCAGTTTCTTTAGCAATACCAATGGTTACAATGCAGGGTTAAATCCACCTCTACTTAATGTTTAACTCACTGCAATACACTTTTTAGTGAATAATGCACATGGCAAGATGGCTCATTTGGCATAATAGGTTGGCATGGATGCCCAGCTGCCTACTATAAAGATCCAGATCCAAACATCAGGCAAGTGTAACATTTCCTCTAGATTGCAAGCTCTTCGAGCAAGGTCCTCATCAACCTATTGGTCCTGTAACATTTTGTAAATATCTTATTTATTGTTAAATTTGCCCCTTCATAATATTGTAAAGCACTATGGAATAAATTGGTGCTATATAATAACAATAACAATTTCATCCATAACACTTTGCAGAAATTCACTGATACAATCTGTATCTATAGATTAAAACAGTCAGCCCCATCCAAACCGTGTCAGGTAAAATTGTCAACTAAATTGTTTTGTACAGCTGATCATGAATATACTTTATTACAGGCACAAACAATACAAATAAATAATTGCCAGTAATTACAGGTGGGATCGGAACATTAAGACTAATCTGAGACAGTGTATAATGATGATACAATTGGAACGCTATCCCTGCGGGTGCACACAGTGCTGGTACGGTGATACTGCTGTATAACTGCCCCGTCGCACTTCTCTCCTTCCCCTGCTAATCCATTCAGTGACAGATGGAGCGATAAGACTTTTCCAAAATGCTAGAGTCAATCATTTGGCCACATCTAAAGGAAAATTCGAAGCACTACAAACCACTACAGTGGTATCGTGTCAACATATTCCGCAGTGCTGTAGAACAGGTAAACCAAACAAACAATAAATTCTAACAAAAAGTTATTGACATACTTGTGAAGTGGGCCCTGCTAAAATGAGTTTACAAGCTAAAAACACAAATACACACATAAACATAAAGACAGACACCAGCACAAACATATACATACATACATACAGACAGACAGACAGACAGACACAAGTATGTACATATACCTGCAGACACACAAACACATTCTCTTATATACACATACATACCTCCTCCATGTTGAGTGCTACTGTCAATGTTCCCCCATGTGCTACCCTCCCCAAACCCCATCACTCTCATCCACACATTCCAACCTCACTGAGCCCTGTCACTTTCATCCACACATCCCATCCTCACTGAAACCTATCACTCTCAGTCACACATTCCAACCTCACTGACCCATATCACTCTCAGTCACAAATCCCAACCTCACTGAGCCCCATCACTCTCATCCACACATACCATCCTCACTGAGCCCTATCATTCTCAGTTACACATCCCATCCTCACTGAGCCCCATCATTCTCATCCACACATCCCAACCTCACTAAGCCCCATCACTCTCAGTCACACATTCCAACCTCACTAAGCCCCACCACTCTCATCCACACATCCCAACCTCACTGAGCCCTATCATTCTCAGTCACACATTCTAACCTCACTGAGCCCCATCACTCTCATCCACACATCCCAACCTCACTAAGCCCCATACACATTCCAACCTCACTAAGCCCCATCACTCTCATCCACACATCCCAACCTCACTGAGCTCTATCAGTCTGTCACACATCCCAAACTCAATGAGCCCCATCACTCTCAGTCACACATCCCAACCTCACTGAGCTCCATCACTCTCAGTCATACATCCCATCCCCACTAAAGCCCCATCACTCTCAGTCACACATCCCAAACTCAATGAGCCCCATCACTCTCAGTCACACATCCCTACCTCACTGAGCCCTGTCACTTTCATCCACACATCCCATCCTCACTGAAACCTATCACTCTCAGTCACACATTCCAACCTCACTGACCCCTATCACTCTCAGTCACAAATCCCAACCTCACTGAGCCCCATCACTCTCATCCACACATACCATCCTCACTGAGCCCTATCATTCTCAGTTACACATCCCATCCTCACTGAGCCCCATCATTCTCATCCACACATCCCAACCTCACTAAGCCCCATCAGTCTCAGTCACACATTCCAACCTCACTAAGCCCCACCACTCTCATCCACACATCCCAACCTCACTGAGCCCTATCATTCTCAGTCACACATTCTAACC